AGAATATTTTTTATGTCATTCTATCCAATCTTTCCTGAGAGAAAATTTTCCCCCCAAGTTTCGGGTGTTTTAGTAAGCGCTAGAGTCCAGCGTTAGAAAAATTTCTCCTACTTATATGAGAATCATCTTATATAATTCACGTTATTGCTCCTTGAAACCACCAAACCTTTGCCCAACACCTGTCTCTGTATCGTCAACAGTTCCGAAGATATTCAAGTGAGTCGATTTATGTGGCTCACTCTGTACACACGGAATGGATGAAACAAGTGACAAAAGTAATCGTGTACGCATACTCGTGCATATTCGCGTTCCTCTTCTGACTCTCAAAGTCACGAAGAATTTACGCGCCGCAGTGAAATTCCCACAGAGCCATATGTTTCACGGTGAAATTGTCAGTTCGTCACGCTGACGCCTATCATCGAGTTGAGCGTTTATCGCCGCCATTACATTTTGATTAAATTCCGGGTCCACCGATGAAATTCTGACTCCTTTGCAAATGGATTTACCGCGTTTTCGGCGATCTCCGGTTACAACGGATTGCTCGAATCGGAAATCGGACCGGTAAAAGCCGGTTAAATATTTTTGCGGCATTCCCCAACGACTCGTGAAATTCTCGAAAATCGAACGTGCCTCGACCGCGGTATCCGTTTGCGTGCCACCATTTTGAACTGCCGATGCCGTACTATTTCACCGGATACATCAAAATCGTTCACAGGGATACTTGGTGAGTATTTGGAATACTTTTAAACATTCAAATGATAATAAAATTATAATGGCAAAATTAATTTTACCGTTGATTATATTAATGATACAATTGTATTGCGATATAATCATGGTCAATTTTTTAATTATTCTAATGAGCATAAATTATTATAAATAGATCCGATACGTGCGATATGAAATTCATAAGTATTAATTTTGAAGTGTTAATTTTGTAGCTGGATACATTTTGTATATTTTTGCTGCAGTCTTAAAATAAAGATAATTAGGTGTGGTGCAAATATTCTAATTATCATTTTATTAATCTAGTATATTATACATGCTGCTATTAGAAATTATTGATTAAAAATTGGTACTACATAACTATTATTGTTATGCCGAGATGAAACATACAAATGTTACATATATTTAGTAAAGTTAATGATACATTTATTAATGTCCTTGCATTTTGAAACTATGAAGTAGTCACAATTAAAATTAAAATTAAACACAACGAACCTCGAATAATTTCGACTCAATTATTACCGAACATCATCAAACATACATTTGATCATATTGCAATTAAACACAATCAAATCACTAAGAGAACAGTGACTCTACACAAATTAATCCATCCGAGTCGTAAATGGAAAAAATATCGAGTAATTAAAGAACATATTTCCCTTAATCGAGAAAGGAGATTACAGAGAGCGAAAATAAAATTTAAATTGGAAGCTGACTTAATTTTCTTATGAAATTTAGTAAGAAAGGCAGACGAAATTCGAACCGCTGTTGTAACACAGGGAAATATTATTTCAGTCGGTCCAGGGGGACCATTAAATGGTCATTTAACGAAATGGATATAATCTACTGTTGAAAGATTTAATCTTATTACGGGCGTTCTTCGTAAAAGGTAACAATAAGTCAGGTGGTTTCATCGTTCTGGCCGACGGCGTGGATTGTCGTTGTACAATCGTCGACTTAAATCGTTCCACGGGCATTTCGAGGCACGTGCAGCGTCGTAATAATACCGCGCCGGGAGCGCACAGGAAGCGCATCCTGGTATTCTATTAAGATTTACGAGCGGTCGTTTGAGAGACACTGGTCAACCGGAAACTAGGTTCCACGTGTTGTAAGAGCGCCGCGGTTAGCGTGAATATGTATGTAGAGCGCATATGCACATATGTGCATCCATACTTCCCCATCGATTCGATGGGATGGCCATTGCATTTCAATAACAGGAACGTGGATGGGATTCGTTGCATACCGGCTATAAGCTTTTGTCTGCAAAAGTCAAGGGTTCCCGATCCTGAATATTGCACGCCTTACGTATACGACGCCGAAGTTCATGGTTCCGCCAGACAATACCGGGTTAAACTACTCGTTTCTCATTTTTCAATCTTTCTTTTTTCGTGAAAATACGAAGATGCGTTGCAAACCTTCCGTAAAAATCATCGGAATCAATTTGATAATATAAAGTTTGTGAATATTAATATTAACATTCCTAAGAATTTTATGTTATTATCTTCATATCAGTATGCATAATCGTTAATAATTAAATTGTTTACTATATAAAATTAAAGAAAGTTGTTTGATCTACTAAATTGGAAAAGTGATATAAATTCACACAAATGATTTATTGCGATTGCGCTGTGAATCGATAGATTTTTCCAATAAGTAACTACATTTAGGATTGTTTTTAATTAATGAAACTCAGTGGATTACAAGTGGATTACGCCGTAGTCGATATGTAATCGTCAAAATGGTCCAATTTATATAAAAACAGACTTTTGAACACGCATGGTTATTAAAGGTATCCAATACTGTTTCAGTACTGTTATCCTGATAGTTTTTCAATTAACATTATTTTTCTATCCTATGAATAATTTTTAATCACAGTGAAGATACTACCGGGAAAAACAATGTCTAGTAGAATCAATAATAACGAGAGTAAATCGAAGAAAACACCAAATGCTTCCATGGAAAATTGATTGCCATCGATGTAAGGATCCTATTTTCGGCCGGTAAGCGTGTTCGTTCCAGCTATACTATTCTGATTGTGGTATGGAGAAAATACTCAAGCCGAAAGTTTTCCGAACGAATTGCAGGCAATAATTCGAACAGATTTCCTCGACGAAGACACGAAATAATTTATGCAGTCAATAAACCGCGGGAATGTTCACCGTTGACGGACTGGTCAACAATGACTGCGAGGTTTGCATTTAATCGTTATTTTTCACGAAAATAAGCCGGCGTTCTTGCTGTTTTCCACTCGACGGATCACTAACGAATCGTTGATTTCCCATGTGGGTTTCCGGCTTCGTTTGTTTTGGGGCTTATGGAAATGCTCCCTGGGAAAGCCATAATTTAATTTCAACGTAAGCGTACAACAGAGGAGGCTCAATGCCGGAGTTTCGTCTCGTTTTAATGGATGTTTAGAACTTTCCAAAGACCGTCGTGCGCTGAGCGTAGCCAAACTTTATCCTTCGACTTCCGGTATCCGCGATATAATAGTGTAGAAAAAAATAATTCAGAAGTATTCTCTTTTTTTTCGTGCTTACTGTATCAACACAATTTAGTTTCCGTATTTCAGCTTACCGTTGCTAGCATTTCAATTAATTAACGTTTGAAGTTACAAAATCAATAATATAAAAATAAATTGGAACGTCGAGCAATATGAAATATGAAGAAGCATTCCGAATAAAAAACTCGATGATATTTCATATTTCCGACGATTATCGGAAACAGATATTTATGTCTTTTAAAACGTTATTTAATGTCACTCTTTAATGAAATAAAAGCTTCAAATCCTCCAGAGTAAATAGTATTTTGGTTGAGTTAAATATAAAGTGTAATTGGCAAGCTAAATCAAATAATTTTGTTCGATTCCGTCAATTAATTAACGTATCAGAAACTATTAAATTTAATTTCCTGTATATTCTCATATTACTATGATCTAATATAGAAAAAAGATAATTCATGTCAATGATTTTATAAAAAAACTAATTGCCACTTTTTTAATATACGGGAAGAATAAAACATTTTTCTCGCAAATTTTCATACTAATTGTTGGACGAAAAACACATACCATTCGAAAAAACAGAAAGTCTAATGCTATGTTCTTAATTAAAATCAAACGATACATTATTTGAAAATTGTAATTTTTCTAATTATCTTGAATCCGAGAGAATATCAGAAATTCAGTTAAATATCATTAAAACAATGTAAGGTATATGAAATTATATACTGTTAGAATATTCAAAGAAGTAGTATTTCGCAAGGTGCTTATTATACTTTGACCCTCTCCTTTAAGTTAGCTTTAACTTCCTGAATGGCCGCGTCATGAATATATAACGTAAGAAGTATTGACAATATTACACAAACGTTATATAACTCTTGTTATAAATATATGACATAAAGAAAATTTAGATTCTTCAGAAAACTATTATTTTTTATTACTTTGTTGAACTCTTGTTAATTACAACTAATGATTTCCAACATTCTTTTTCGTGGAAAATTAAAAAAGAATTTCTGGTAATCAGGAGGTTAAAGTCTAATAAAAAAAATCGTTGCATGAAATTACTATCCCATCAGCAGGATTACTAATATACAAAGCTTAAAGCAAACGTGTATCGATTAATTTCCCATTCATCTTGAATAAGGGCCTTTAGTTAAACGGAAGAACTCAAGTAACATCATTCATCTGTTCAACCGTCTGCGCAGTCCAGCTCTTAAGTAAACGGTGCTGAGATAATCAAGTCTTTGCTGCATTACGTTTATTCACGTATTTCACTTGAAGTCAAGAAGTCGAAACAACATTCACGTGTCGTCTGTAGACCGACAAAACATCCGCGCGGAGGATGGGGTAAGCGTACGTCAGCTAGAGCAGTGTTCACCAACCATCGGTCTATGGACCGAGCAAATTTCACCAGTCAGCAAAAAAATGTCTATTGGAAATATACGTATATAGTCGTAATAAATAGTTATAAATTTTCTTTTTTAGACTATTGATAATGACTATACCCGACATATTTACAGTTCCTCGACATGTTGAAGTTTCGCATTCATTCATTTCGAAACGAATGAAAATGAAGGGGTAAAAAACTAAGTATCGAATGTTGCGCATTCTTAATGGACTATTATAATAATACCTGGAATGTATTACTTGTACCCATGAATTTGGTTCGTACACGACGAATATAAGGTTGAGAAACACTGAATTAGGAGATCTGCGTCGCTAAGACTCGCGGGAGAGCAAGATTCACGGCTGATACGTTCGCGCAAACTTCCTTAGTACTCACCTAGTAGCCAGATCCCGGTGCACAAAGTTCAGATTCTCCAGGTACCGCATGCCCGACGCGATCTGAGCCGCCATGTAGATGAGACAGTTGAAACTGAAACGAGGAAACGACGTGAGTCGAGGGAGAACAAAGTTGAGTCGCGATGCTTGCAGGTTTTTGGAAGGTGGCGGGGACGTGGGTGGTGGATCAGAAGCACCACAGGGTGGGGTCGCAGAAACGATGGAACGCCGGTGACTACACGAAGACTACGTCGCTCACGATTAATAAACGCTTCAAACTCCGGTCTGAGAGAAACTTATTGGGTGTTAACTTCTCGACGCGACACCCTGCCACGGCGGATGAAACTAATCGTAAATCTTGAGCCCCGTTGGCGGAGCTGTTGCTCCGTGAGGGAACTATTTTGAAATTCTCTTTGCGGCTGATTAATTTTCCTGCACCCCTTGATACCGGAATCGGGGATCGCGATACAGAAATATTCGAAATTAGACTTTTTTGTCACAAGGTTAATAGTAGAATTACCGAGCAAACAAATTTACATCTCCTTATTTTCTTTACAGAAGATATAAAAATGTGTTTATTGAATCGGCTGAACTATATTTTAGTTTACGTATTATGAATATAATTTCAAAAGAAAAGTTTGGACTGGGTCATTTTGAAACATACCGTAACTACATAGTTCTGTAGTATAAATATTTTTTCAAGAGGACGATAATTTTTTTATGTTATAGTCCGAAGCGTTATGTAAGTATTGTTATTTTATTGCAAGAACGGAAGTATATCATTCACATACAAAATAAAAAGACATTGATAAATTATCATAAATATACTGTTCTATGTATGTGTTAATATAATTTTAACGGCCCCTCTGAAATGGGGTCGTAAATTATAATATTGAAGACTGTAATTTGTGCGGAATTGCTTACCTGAGAGTTTTGACACCGATTGGCATAGAATGAGCATCTTCGGCAGTGATATGCGTTTTAAGGAATTGGCAGAGATCTCCATGCTCCAAGTACTCCATTACCACACAGTATGGTTCCTCGCGGCAGCAGGCGCCAAGGACTCTAGCTATATTTCGATCCTCTAGGGCGGCCAAAATCCTAACATCTCGTTGAAAATCCAACCTAAACAAGTACATAATAAAATAATACTAAATGTACGTGTAATACTTATTTCCTGTTTTCATTCGGTTTGGACATTTCCAAAGATTTATAAAAATAAACTTATTAAAAATTTCAAAGATATTCTTTGTTATAAAGAATACGTCTACAGTATATTGGATTTTCTACAAAATACTATGATTCAACGTTAGGTAAATTTTAACAGCTTGAGTGCGGTACGATTTTCTTTGATATGTATCAAAAATGCAAAAGAAAATTTTACATAGTTATATACATACACATACACTTGTCATAAGTAAGTGTCGCTTTTAAAATCGCAACTTTATAACTGTAAACATTTTCTATTACTTAATGCAAGTGTGTTTTGCAAAAATTATACCCGTCAACGAACAGCGTGTTGTTCGTATTGCTGAAACAACACGAGAGAAGCGCGATGATACTCCTTCGTACTCAAACGGTTAATGATTCGTTGAATTTATTCTGACTCTAACGAAACCCTTAATAGAGAATACAATTTTTTCTTTAATTCTAGTTTCTGTAAATTACTTCTTAACCAGTTAATTGCATTTGACGAGTATACATGTCATTTTAAAGCTTGAAATGATAATAATTCTTTCAACGATGAATTCTTAACGATTTCAGATAAACATGTAATGCTTCTTTGCTTTGCTGTGGTCTTTCATTAAAATATTCATTACAATATTCCCTAGGCGCATTCGTCCTGCGTTTGACGAGTGCACACTTAAGTTTTCAATTTTACTGTGCGCAAAACGAGAGATTTTTCAAACTAAATCCTACAGTTAACAGGTCGAGAAGGGTAAAATTATCGTAGACGTGTTGTACATAAAAAAACATAATAAATTCAGATTGTATTACTATACTAACTGGAACTATTTCTCCGAACGTTCTCAATAATTCTCAACGTTCCAGGGCGTAGCAGCGGCTAACAGTTCCACAAGTTACCCTCTGTTATAACAAATATTACACATATGAACAAAGTTCTAGCGCGCAGTCGTTATATTCCACACCCAAGTACCAAAAATAGGGCTCTTATGAACGAGCAATCCCGGATAAGCCATCAAGTCGTTCCATTCCCTTCCCCTTTAAGCAGCGAAGTTATAATACCGCGTATCCATGAATTTCGCCAAATTTTCATTCCACGGACTTTCCAAACGACAAAGTCCGAACACGGGAGTACCGTGGGTACACGGTACCCGGGGCTGGCATCGCCGCGAGAAAACTAGAGGGGATTGTTAAAGGAAATGGACTATTGGCTCGGTCGAACGGTGTCCGTTTCGCAAAATAACCGTAAGATTTTCGCGCGAAGTTCCGGCATCTCGTTTGCATGCCGGCGCAAGGTAAACGACTGGGGGCGATTCGATTAGTCGGAGCCGCGGCGTGGATACCTTCCACGTGAAGGAAACTCCGCGCCGTTTTCCAAGAGCCGAGCTACGCGTACGGCAACGGTCGCGCGTTTCCACGCAGCATCGTTACTTCGGGCTTACTTACGATCGACTCGGTAATGGCACTCTCGCGTGATAGCTTAATGCGGCCGTTAACAAAACTACGGGCTCGGGGTCTATCGATTCCCCATAAACTGCGAATTCTGGTGCGTACCGTCGTCCCGCGGCGTCTTCGAACCGCGTGGGCGGTGCAACGGCCTTCACGCCGTCTAACCGTATGCAAATCATTTTGTTTCGCGCCCTAGCGCAACGTGATGTTAGTGTTACATGGGATTTCTCTACTGTATCGGCTTCGAACATTTCATTCTTGCGGAAATTTTCTTACAGTGTGCAACGGCCTTCACGCCGTCTAACCATATGCAAATCATTTTGTTTCGCGCCCTAGCGCAACGTGATGTTAGTGTTACATGGGATTTCTCTACTGTACCGGCTTCGAACGTTTCATTCTTGCGGAAATTCTCTTCCAGTGTAGTATTTCAGAATGTTATTGCTCCTGTTTCTGAGTTACAATCGTTTTCGTGGATATGTATCGTTTTAGTGTAAGATGTTTTTTACGTCGAGAGTCTTTGAGTATTTGAGTTTTCTTTCTTAATGTTGTTATTGCGCAGGATTTCGAAATGTTACTCATCCTGTTTCTGAATTGCAATCGTCTTCGTGGATGTTGTGTCGTTCTAGCGCCAAGTGATTTGCATTAGGTGTGCAATATTTAATTTGTTTTTCATTTTTTTAGGGTATAAAACTTTTGAATTACAATACTGTGGGGATCAATGACCGGATCAGACCGAAAACAGGAACAAAGAAATTGAAAAGCTGCGGCCTTTAGAATTGTTATCATAACAGCCAGTATTCCCATGATTGCACGAATCCGAGGTATGGACGCAAAAGACAAAAAGAGTGCGAGAGAGAGGGAGGAGAGAGGGGAGATAAGGCGCGGAATGTGTATGAGCGATAGCGACAACGATACTACCCCGATACTTCGAATTTTCTGTTAATATTCTTTTATTTATGTAGTTTTCGGTATATATATTTCGTTTTATTAAAGTCAACGGAACTTCAATACGTCCCCGCACACTATTTTTACAATATCAAAAGGATGTGGATGAATTAAAAAACTGAAAATGGTACAGGTGTTTGAGCAGAATGGTAACAAAGTATGTAGAGTATCAGAATACGCGAGCTGGAGGATTTAACGACTAAAATACAAGAAGAGGTTTAAACAGACATCTGTCCTATCTGATCTTGTTTCCGAGCTACAGTCGTTTTAGTAGTGTACATACCGCCCTATCATAAGGTGATCCATGTTACAAGTAGCTTCTTTAGTACTGCGGCTTGAGTCATTCGATCTTTCTCCTAATTTCCTTATGGTGTAACATTTCTAGAATACTAATGGTGTTTAAATGAAATTAAACAACTAAAAATGGTATAGGCGTGTAAGTAGAGAGGCAACAAGCAATTCAGCTTGTTTATTGAAGATTCAGTTAAAATACAAAGAATGTATGAACAATTTTCGTTATTTTATCTACACATTTGATTATTCTGCAATTTTGTGTTTTAAGATACGTCGAACGACATTTTTTACTTGTTTAATTCTTTTTTGGACAATAATTGTTTTTATAATCCATCATTCATCGACATATCGAATCTTTTTATTTGTATTTCAATTTGTACTAGTGACTCATCGATTATTATCATATTCTGGACCCTTCTTGAATTACGGACGACGTCATTAATAACTGTTTACACTTTTCAATTATATTTTTATTGACCTTCGTTACGCTGAATGCGAGCCATGCAATTAATATTTTTAATGAATATTCATGTCCATGAAATAAGATGCCGAGAAACGCAAGATTCCGCAAAGACCAAACCGAGTGCAATGCAATTATTTAGATTATTTAAACGTTTGTCTCATCAACCGTACTTGATATTGACGAACAAAATAGAACTCGGCTCGCGCTAGACGGGGACTGCGCAATTCAATTAAAACCGTATTTCCAAAACTCTAATTAACCGAATGGAAAAGTTTCCCCATTGTTTCGCCGCGCTAACAGAACCAGCCCTATAATCATGCGCAGAGGCTGCAAAATTTTTGCCATTGTGAATCATTTCGTTATTAAAATTAAATTCGTTTTCTGAAAGCGGACGAAATATGAACAAAATAAAAAATTTTGTAGAAATTCCACGAGGCCGGACAGGCAAATGTAACGAACCAGATCGTATTAGTTCGGAATCAAGGAACGAAACATTGTGTGCAGGTTTTCATGTAGAAAGTCGGGGAGCAATAGTTGGATCGCTAGTCAGAATTATTTTTGCAAAACGAGGCATGCGGCCGATAATATCGGGCCTGATTACGTGTAATATGTTCCTTATCTAAACCGGCTCCAACGATTCGAACCACTGATCGATAAAAGACACGTTGTTGCAACGGCAGAACTCATTGAAAGACTATACAAGGTGTTCAAAAACAGTCCAGATTAAATTCCTATAGCTCTTTAGAAGACTAAATTCTACAGAAAAAATAGAAAATCCTCATTCGTTTATAAATTATCGATTCGTTTATAAAATACTTGTGTTAAATTCTTTACTGCTTAGGCACATCTATAATAAATTGTACACTCCGCGACAAAATGATAGGACACTAGGTTTCAAAGTATGATAACGACAAATTTACGATAGTTAATAGACGAACATTGAAGTAGTAAGACTTGTGCGTGATTAGTTTATGTGTTTATGTAGTGTTTGTTTAGAGTCAATTGGAATTTTAAGTCTAGTATTAATCGTAAAATGGGTCACGGGAAACAGTTGAATGAAACAGAAAAGAGAATCATTTTAAACTTAAAGAAAGAACAGTTGAGTGGGCCCAAAATTACAAAAATTATACATCGGTACAGAAATGTGATGATGAATTTCCTTCAAAAAGGTGACAATTGCGAAGAATTAAAGAGTACAGGAAAACCGAGTGCTGTTACTGCTCGAGAAATCCGAGACATTCTAAGAATTGCTTCCAATTCAAGACTAATATCGTGACAAATTACAAAAGGAGCTGGTGTAAATAGAAATGTAAGAAGCGTACAACCAATACTTAATAAAGCGAAACGCATTGAAAACAAAATTGGAAGGTAAACCGCTGTTAACACCGCTGCATGTAGAGGATAAAATGAACTTCGCTCGTGAACACATCGGATGGAGGAAAAAATGGCGAAATGTCATTTTCACTGATGAAAAGAGACTTAATTTGAATGTGTTGGATGGCTGGTTTTATTACTTTCACGATCTGAGAAAAAATTAGGCTGTTAAAGTAAGGCGACATGCAGGTGGAAACATTATGTTATGGGCAAGAATTGGATATGGTGGTAACACCAACATAAGGTTTATCGATAAAAAAATGAACAGTGCCACCTATATAAAATTTATACATGAAGCAATTGAAACGCATGCTGTCCGCATTGCTGGTGAAAAATGAATTTTTCAACAGGACAATGCAGCTGTCTATACAGCAGGAATCGTTAAAGATTATTTTTGAAAAAATAACATAAATGT